CCATTGGTGGGGTCACACGTTCGGTTCGAGTCCCATTTAGCGACTCTGCAGCTCGAAACGCGTCCAGAGCTTCGGCCGCCTCCGCCGGTCTTCTGGCCCACTGTTCTGGCTCACGCTGCAGGGGTGCGTGCTGGAAGGCTTCCCATACCTGCTGCTGCGCGGCGGCTCAGAAACAATACCGATCAATACAGCCCGCCGACAAACTTTGGCTAATGCGGCCATTACCGCGAGCCATTCGTCAGCCGGCCTATTATTTCGGCGCCGCCCTTGCCAAAGTTACACTGCTTTGACATTAAGGGGAGGTTCTGGTGAAAATGCTATTCTCTCCTAAATAGGTCCCACTGTGAAAATTTGTTAAAAATTTGATGTCTTATCAAGTATTTATTAAAAATTTTCATTGGGGAGGCACATTCCATGCCCTGAACCCAGTCGCAGAGCCTTTTTCTCCCATTTAGGCTCTAACTTTAAAAATCTTCTTGCGCATACTATTTTGTCGTAAAAGGTTGGCTTAGACATTTTTCACTTCTTCGATTCATTTTTTTAAAATGCCGGCATGCACATCTCAAAATGTCAATTGCAGTTTTATTCGCAAGCTTTCTTACCAAGCATTTCACTATAATTGATCAAAAATGTACAAAATAGTCAAATTTTAGGGACTTTTCAGCTTTAAAAGCTAATAACTAATAATATAATGGAAGTTTTGAGCTCTGCATGCCGGTATCTTTTGAAAATGAGTCGAAGAAGTGAAAAATGTCAAGGTCAACCTTTTACGACAAAATAGTATGCGCAAGGAGATTTTTTAAGATACAGCCAAAATAGGCTCAAACAGACTCTTCGACTGGGTTTACAGCCTGGCATGTGCCTTCAAAAGTCAAATTTTAGTCTCCTCAATGAAAAATTTTATATTCAAAACAAATTATGACTGTAGGATCCATTTGGAAAATGGCAAGATTTTCACCAGAACCTCCCCTTAAGTCAGAGCCAACTCGGCGTCTGGTAAGAAGGCGAGCTGCTCAGCAGACATTCATTTGCCTCCGGAATCCAACGTGGGTTTCATTCGTCGGCAAGGCCCTTGCCTGTGACCGACTAGAAAAAAAAATTGAATATGTTTTAGATAGTTTCCTCCGGTTTTTGTTTGATTCCTTTTGGTCCGGTTCCACGGCAGTGTCGAGCGACTGCAGGCAAAGCCTCGCGATGTTACGAAATGCACACACTACCGGCGAGTCTCGCAAACGGGACGACAGGGTCTTGTCCCCCTCTTGCCTCTAGCATGAGTGTTTGCTCTCTGTCTTATTCACGTTCGGTTCTGGTCGCGGTCGCTTTTCCGCCGTACCACATGTGAGATGTCCTGGTGGCGCAATCGGTTAGCGCATGGTACTTCGCCTCGCTCAGCGTGCCAATCATGGCAGGGTTGCGGGTTCGAGCCCCACCTGATCTGTGTTTTTCTCGTCCCGACAGCGTTGTTTTTCCTTTCCCACGTCATTCCGATCCCAAATCACTCCAGACCGACAGCAAAAAAAAAGGCGAATCCTTTTTATCTTTCACTCCAATATAAAAGACGCGATCAGTGGTGGGGTGACTGGGTTCGGTTCCAATCGAAATGCATTCCTTTTTCTTTCTTTTTTTTTCAGTTTGTCTCTCTCCCTCTCCCTCGAGGTGCTAAGCGCCCATTGGTCCGGCGGTATTAACCGCACCGCCGCCCTCGCAAGCCCCGCGGAGTGATCAACATTCCGATCGGGGTAAAAGTTGGCCGGCAAAGCAAATTAAACGGGGAATCAGTGCATCCGTCGCTCCGTCTCGCTCGCACTCTCAACAAAGGGGATATTTGTGTCTTCGCGGGCGAAATTAGCGTTGCAGATTCTCGCCGCCGCCCCGGACGGGGAAAGGACGCCCGGGGAACGAGAAGCCGAAAAAAAAGGGGGAAAGTCGATAAATTGGACTCGGTTTCTTTCACGAGAAGTGCGGAGGCCTCAAGGAGAGGTTCACTTTCCTTCTGGTAATCCAGCGCGGATACCGACAGACGGACGGACAGACAGACAGACAGACAGACAGACAGACAGACAGACAGACAGACAGACAGACAGACAGACAGAGCAACCTTCGGTAGGCTGGCGAGCATTTCTGCCCACGCACGTACGTAGGAGGCACCGCATGATCACACAACGTCCGACCGTCCGTCCGCAGACAGAGGCCCTCACTTAGAATGCTGGGGCGCTGCTACACCAGCAGCCATGATCCCCGCCAGCTGCCCCTCCACTCCCCCCCCCCTCCCCCACACCGTTTACACGCTCCAAACTTGGACCAAACTGTGGCAGCGGCATCGATTATGCAGTGTTCAACGCCTCGCCCACGGCGTCGCTGTCTGTCTCTCTCACTCCCACCAATAAACACGCACGGACGTCACGGACTCTTGAGGGGTTTACGCGGAGGCATGCAGGACGTCAGAGAGAGAGAGAGAGAGAGAGAGAGATTGATTGATTTGATTTGATTTATTGCTTTTAAGGTACAGTACAACGGGACTGGAGAGTCCCACGAGCGTATGTACCGCTCTCAGAATAAACTAAAGATACAAAATTGTAACAGAGGAAAAAAAATAAAAATTATATCAACAATCGAAGAAAATAACTAGTTACATCAATAGCAGCGACAGTATATGATACACAATATCAATATTTAGACAGTAATTGTGCTTTAATGGATCTTTTGAAGGAAGTGACTGACGTATGACTTAGATAACTGAAGCCTGAGAACATATTAAATACTCTAGATGAAGATATGCAGAATGAATTTGCGTACTTTGCCGTTCTATGCTGTGGAATCAAAATTCTATCAGGGTGACGTGACGAGAAGTTAAACAGTTCAAACAGATAGTGCGGCGTTTCAGTCCTTAGAACTTTCCATATCAATGTTGCTAAATTTACTGTTCGTCTGTCTTGGAGTTTTAACAATTCTAGGCCAGCATAATGAGGTGTAATGTGCTCGAACAAATCAGCTCCAGTAACAAAACGAATACATACATTTTCAGCTCTTTGAAGTTTAACAGTGGTGTACTTATTCATATCAGTAAAAAGAGCCGAACCATAGTCGAGATGAGGCAATATTAGGCTTTGAACAATACGCAGTCTTATAGTTCGAGGTAGACAATCAAAGTTACGGCGAACCTGTGCAAAAGTGGCAAACACCTTACTCACAACTTTATTCGCGTGCTGTCTCCAGCTGAGTGTCGAGTCAAAGGTGACTCCAAGATTTACAACTTCATCTTTATATGGCACAGTAGTATCATTGATACTGATTAAAGGAACATCCATTAGGTTCAGCCTGTTAATATAAGGACCAGATCCTATGATAATCGGTTGAGTTTTGCTAATATTAAGGGTAAGATTATGACCAGAGAGAGAGAGAGAGAGAGTAAATAGAAAAGTGTAAGCCACAATGTAAGACAGAGGAGCATCTTGCGTTATATTTCCCTAGGTGTATCGCGTACCGCCTCGCGGAAGAAGACCCGGCACACACACACACACACACACACACACACACACACACTCGCGATAAACCCTCATTTACGTCCATTTGGCTGCCAGTATGCAAAATTTCGCCTCTTCGCTGCTCCGTTGCTGCCAATATTCCGGCAGTACTCGCTTCGCGGGGCCATCGCTCCCCCCGGACCGCTTCGCTCCGCCCCGCACCGTCAGAGAGAGAGAGAGAGAGAGAGAGAGAGCAACTGCACGACGCGTGCACCCCTATACGGCAACCCCTCGCCGTGGCCGACGGTGTCGGTTCAAGGACCCGACGAGAAACACCGGCCCCAGTGGCGCAATCGGTTAGCGCACGGTACTTATAGGGCAGTGTCCGTGAGCCATGCCGGGGTTGTGAGTTCGAGCCTCACCTGGGGCACTTTTTTTTCGAGTCGAATTGGAATAAAAGCAGCTGCGCCGATGGGGCCAGAGTGCCAGAGTTCGCTGGTTCGACTCCCACCTGTGCCTTGCCGCCCTTCCTTCGCGTCCCTGCTCCAGACACAACAAGGGGGCTTCGCCGCGTCGACGTCGGGGCGGGGGCCAAGGTGGAGGCCGGGGCTTCGCTGCCCAAACTCGGCGGGTTCATATCGCGACGAAACTCGGGCAATATTTCAATTCAGCGCTCCTCCAACTTTATTTTTTTCCTTCGCGCCGCCCCGCCTGGGATCAATGACGGTGCGAGAAAGGAAGAGTCTCGGAAATAAATAGCTCGCCGGACCACTTCACTTGATTTCTCTGTTCGGCGGGGCAGGGCGCGGCCAGCCGTAATCCGAGCAGTACATGCGGGAAAGCTCGAGAAAGCCCCCGAAAAGAAAACAACTGTGATTAAAACTTTCGCTCTCGCGCGCGTTTGCGCGTTTCCCTGGACGGCGCTTGAGAGTGCGAGTCTACCTCCTCGCACCACGGAGCCTGGCCGCGCAACCAGCGCCTGGTCGAGCCCCAGCCGAGGCACAGTGGGCCACAAGACCGGCGAAGGCGGCCAAAACTCTATGCGCGTTTTGAGCTCCAGAAGTGCTAAGCAGGACTCGAACCGAGCGTGTGACCCCACCAATGGATTCCTCGTTCGGAGAGCAATCCATTGGTGGGGTCACACGTCCGGTTCGAGTCCCATTTAGCGACGCTGGCCCTCAAAACGCGTCCGGGGTTTTGGCCGCCTCCACCGGCCTTCTGGCCCACTGTGCGCTCCAAGGCCGCGCTGCCGGGCTGAGTCTGGCCCAGCCCCGGCCCGGCCGATGGCCCGGCCCCCGATCCGCTTTTGTTGCGAAATGACGCCCTCGTCACATGCTGCATAATCCGATTACAAAGGAGAGGCGTCCAGCGTCCAACCTACAAAGCGACCGATATCGGATAAATTCATTGCGGCCCGCCTAACAATAACACGCCGCCATGATCAGCCCGCCACAAATAAACAAACAATTTTCTTTAAAAAAAAAAAAAAAAAAAAAAAAAAAAAGGAAATTTAAAAAAAAAATGGTTTTGCACTCACCTTTGCAGAGCAGCGCGTCCTCGTCCGAGCCGTCGCCGCAGTCGTCCTGGCCCTCGCACTTCCACGAGTCCGGGATGCAGCGGCCGTTCTTGCACGCGAACATGGCGTCGCGGCACGTCCCTGCGGAAGGCCAAGACCGTCAGCAACGAGACAACGGGAAAAAAAAACTTGCTCCAGGTGAGGCTCGAACTCACAACCCCGGTGTAAGCGTGTATCTTTACCCCCTTACCTAGGGTACTATTTCACTAGGAGGAAAGTACCTTGCCCTAGGGGAGGGTAATAATTCCCTAGGGATATCATACTCATGCAGGGTGGGGGGTAATATTTTCCTAGGGTAACTTTACCCCCTCTAGGGGGGGTAATAATCCACTAGTGGAAAAATACCCTCTCTCTGGAGGGGGTAAAAATTCCCTAGGAAAAAAGTACCTATCACAGGGGGGTAATCATACACTAGTAATTTCTTACCCTCTCTCCTGAGAGGGTACATGGCCACTAGGGTAAAATTGGGTTAATAATTTACTAGGGCATTTGTACTCCCTCACCAGAAAACGAGCATTAAGGTGTTGAAAGACACGTTCCACACGCAATTTCAGAAAAATCAAATTTAAGGGGAGGTTCTACTGAAAATCTTACTTTCTTCAAATTGAGTCCCATTATCAATATTCATTGTAAATTTAAAGTATTTCATAGTAAATAGTTAAATTTGAAGTTTGGAGAGCAATACCTAGCCCCCAACCCAGTCGAAGAGGAATTTTCTGCTATTTCCAGTCGTAACTTAAAAAATTCTCCTACGCAAAGTTTTTTAACGTAAACTGATGTTCTGGGCATTTTTCACTTCTTTGGTTCATAATTGATAAACCGTGGCATTAGTAAGATACTGGGACCATTACAAAACCATAAGCTGTGTTTTTAAGACAGCATGTCAATAAAATTTCAAGAAAATGTTAAAATTTCTGATATTTTAGTGACTTTTTTTCTGAAAAGCAACGCCAAAATAAATTTGTTGGGTCCCATGTCTTGGTGATGCCACGCTTTATTGCATATGAGCCAAAGAAGTGAAAAATGTCCAGAACATCAGTTTACGTTGAAATGCTTTGCGTAGGAGAATTTTTTAAGATATTGCTACAATAGGCTGAAAAAACCTCTTCGACTGGATTTGGAGGGAGGTATTGGGCTCTAAATTTCATGTTTGACTATTAACTATGTATTACTATACATCTGCAACAAATTTTTACACTGGGTCTCAATTTGAAAAATGCAATATTTTCAGTAGGGCCGATATTATATACACGCAGCGTGTACGCAACAATGGTAAAAATTATTTAAACGCCGCGTGGCAATAATATATACATTAGAACAACACACGCAGCGTGTCTGAAATCACAAAAGTACTATGTACACGCCGGAAGGGCCTTTCCACGCCGGAAAGGCTTTTCCAGCGTGTACATAATATAAGCAGCTGTTTCCATCACGCAGCGTGTCTGCAAGCGCTCTAAAATTATTTGCACGCTGGAAAATCTTTTCCAACGCTGGAAAAGCTTTTCCGGTGTGTCAATAATAAAGGAGGGTGTTATTTTTACGCAGCGTGTTTGCAACTCCCTATTTTATTATTTGCACTCTTGTTTTGAGGCCAGCTAGGAGATAGAGATGCCTAGGAGGAAGCCGACCGGGTGTGTCGCCTCGTGGTCGAGTGGATACGTGCCTGCATGCCACTCTTTTAGCAAGGGTTCGAAACTTTGAGAATTTTTTTAAAAGATGCGTGCACATATTTTTTTGGCATTCAAGGGACACGCGGCGTATGAATAATAGATCGTTGGTTGTGCAGACGCTGCGTGTCGCGTGTCGCTGAAAAATTATGTGCACGCATCTTTTGAAAAAATTCTCTAAGTTTCGAACCCTTGCCAAAAGAGTGGCATGCAGGCACGTATCCACTCGGCCACGAGGCGACACAATTAGTCGGCTTCCTCCAAGGCATCTCTATCTCCAAGCTGGCATACGAGAGTGCAAATAATAAAATTGTGGGTTGCGAACACCCTGCGTTTATGTACGAAGCAAAAGGATTATAAGCACGCTGCAATAATATTTGTAGCGTGTGTATAAGATTTACTAATGTAAAACGCACGCTGCGTTTCTTTAAGACGTCAAAAATTATAAGCACGCTGAAAAATATTTCTAGCGTGCACATAAGAATTACCTAAGTTAAGGACTAACCGCGTGTTCGCAATATAAAATTTATTATTTAAACGCAGCGTGTCCCTTGCATGCCACAAAATTATGTGCACGCATCATTTGAAAAAATTCTCCAAGTTTCGAACCCGGGCCAAAAAAGTGGCATGCAGGCACGCATCCACTCGACCACGAGGCGACACACCCGGTCGGCTTCCTCCAAGGCATCTCTATCTCCTAGCTGGCCTCAAAACAAGAGTTCAAATAATAAAATAAGGAGTTGCAAACACGCTGCGTAAAAATAACACCCTTCTTTATTATACACACGCCGGAAAAGCTTTTCCAGCGTGTAAATAATTTTAGGGGGCTTGCAGACACACTGCGTGCAAAAAACGGCTATTTTCATTATATACACGCTGGAAAAGCTTTTCCTGCGTGTATATAATGAAAATGGCGTTATTTGCACGTCGCGTGTATTTAAGTTGCTTTTTATTATATAAACGCTGCGTGTCTATAATCACTTCGTTTCAGTAGAACCTCCCCTTAAAAAAAGTAAATTGGATTTTTACATAATCCAAGGATAAGCCAAAGCGGGCGCCCATTCCTGAGTTTTGGGCATTCGTCTACCTACCTGACTAACTCATCGTTTATTTCGCAAAGTTTAAAATTAAGAAAAAAATGACCTATGGTGCTGAAAACATTAAAATTCGTGAATCAAGTTGTTTTCTGTGTTAAGAATTTATTTTGACTCATTTTGTATATGACTTGCTTTCTCGAATTGCTTGTGGATTTTTTTTTCATCTTCACACTCGTTTTTCTGGTGGGGAAGTACGAATTCACTAGTAAATTATGATCCCCTGGGTAACTTAACCCTAGTGGGCATGTACCTCTCTCCGGAGAGAGGGTAAGAAATTACTAGTGTATGATAACCCCCCTGTGATGGGTATTTTTTTCCTAGGGAATTTTTACCCCCTCCAGAGAGAGGGTATTTTTCCCCTAGTGGATTATTACCCCCCTAGAGGGGGTAAAGTTACCCTAGGAAAATATTACCCCCCACCCTGCATGAGTATGATATCCCTAGGGAATTATTACCCTCCCCTTAGGCAAGGTACTTTCCTCCTAGTGAAATAGTACCCTGGGTAAGGGGGTATAGGTTCACGCTGACACCGGCATCGCTCACAGACACTGTCTTATAAGTACCGTGCGCTAACCGATTGCGCCACTGGGGCAGATGTCTGTAGTAAGCGCTGGACAGAATCTGACTTCTCCGAACTGAAAATAGTGGCTGAAAAATGCTGCCCCAGGTGAGGCTCGAACTCACAACCCCGGCATCGCCCACAGACACTGTCTTATAAGTACCGTGCGCTAACCGATTGCGCCACTGGGGCAGATGCTACATCGTGCTTCCTCCGCTTCATATTAGGTTCTGGAGAAGAAAGACACGACCGGCTGCGTGGGCTGGTGCGTTGGCGGGGCGTGGGCAGGGCGAGGGTCGAGCGGGCTGGTGCGCGGCGGGTGCTGCCGCCACAAGTGGGCCGTGCCTGCGTCACCGTCGGGACCCACCAGGACCCGCCACACAGTGGGCCAGAAGACCGGCGGAGGCGGCCAAAATCCCGGACGCGTTTTGAGCTCCAGAGTCGCTGAGTGGTTCTCGAACGAGGAATCCATTGGTGGGGTCACACGCTCGGGTCGAGTCCCATTCAGCGACTCTGGAGCTCAAAACGCGTCTAGAGTTTTGGCCGCCTCCACTGGTCTTCTGGCCCACTGTGGACCAGCCAGGACGCTCGAAGCACCCCGCTTTGGGAAACACGTCTGGCTCGCACAATGGCGCAGTCGTTTCGAAAAACAAAGCGATCCGGGCGGTGCCGTATCAGCCCGCATAGAGGGCGCCGCCCGGCAGCGCCGCGCCGCGGTCGTTGAGGGTTGATCCCTGGATACCGCGGCCGGGCGGGGCGGGGCGGGGCGGCGCGGCGCGGAAGCCAGCGACCGCGAGGTAATCAAGGCCGTTATCTTTGGCCCGCCATTGTCTTCTCGGCCACTCCTAGGCCGAATTTTCCATCATCTTTCTTCGGGCGCGCCGCGGCGGAAACCCCGTCATTTTCCGCGTCTAATCCCCCCGCCCCCTCCACCCGCCACTCCCAGTGTAGTGTATCCCTCTCCCCTTTCATGAAATCACTCCCCCCCCCTCCCCGGCCGTGCCTGGCCCTGCCCTGCTGCTCCCAGAGGACCCCCGCAAATTGGACTCCCCCCTCCCCCCTCCAAGGCTGCCGCTGCGGATGCGAAAAACAGAAACACGAGCAACTCCATTTGGAGGAGGCGAGCCGAATGGGCCGACGGCCGAAGCGCCGCCGAAGGTCGAACTGAATAACAACGGCGGCCAATCAGACGCCGGGGTTGGTGTCGAGGTGGTCGAACTCTCGGAGAGCGGCCCGGTGGGCCAGAAGACCGGTGGAGGCGGCCGAAATCCCGGACGCGGTTTGAGCTCCAGAGTCGCTGAATGGGACTCGAACCGAACGTGTGACCCCACCAATGGATTCCTGGTTCGGAGAGCAGTCCATTGGTGGGGTCACACGTTCGGTTCGAGTCCCGTTTAGCGACTCTGGAGCTCAAAACGCGTCTAGAGTTTTGGCCGAGAGGTGGTTGCCAGCCTCGCCAGCCCTGCCACGTGTCTGCCAGCCCCGCCAGCCCGGCCGGGTGTCCGCCGTGAGTCCGCCGGCCTCAAAACAGCCCCCTGGGTCCTGTCGGTCCGGGGCCCCAAGTGGCCGGCACAAAAAAGGACCAGTCGGCCAGGATAATTACTGCAGGACGACAGAGCGCCCCCCCCCCTTCCCTCTCACCACCTGCTGCGGACCGGCGCGGCAGGGGCGGCGGCCCCATGGAAAGAGGGGGGGGGGGGCCTCCACGTGGAGAAGGGTGGCCTTGGTGCCGGCGGCGACGGGGCCTTTCCTGCTGCG